AGAGAGATTGATGATGTGCGATAACTCCGTGTTGACTTTAGAGTATGTCTATTCAAAAATGTATTTTCCAATATGAATATACACTGAAAAATATATTCACTGAAGTTCAGGTGTAATAACTAGTCCGTTCTCCCTTTATGTAAGTGTATTGTTATTGAGAGAAAAGTGTTTATATATAGTGCAAGGATTGATGGAAGATATTAGCCTAAAATCATGCACAGATGTACACTGAAAATCCACAAAAAGCCACTGGAAGCCATCTGGGCACCTTTGCCATACTATTTCCAATGTATGATGGGACATACTAATCCTATCCTAATCTCACATACTGCCTGTTTATATAGTATGTAGATAGTATCTCTCCTTTTAACAATTACTTCGTCTCTTTATTCAGATTTTCTGCATTTCTCTTACTTACGTGAACTGTTCATAGGTTCTCAACATATTTTCCCAGGCTTCAGGTGTAGCCTGACCTTCAAGATATGTGTAAGACTTAAGCTCTATTTAGGCTGTCATGCGTTCATCTATAACCACATTTGTGAGACACCATCAGCCACCTAGTGTGTATAATAGCCATATGCATAGAAATAGGTGTTCATCTTTCCATGCATACCATGTGTTGTTGATGTTGATTGAACTTGTTGGTGGGAGCCCACAGCATGCTGACGGGGAGGTGTGAAGCTGGAGTGGATGATGTGTCCCAGCTGAGCGTGAAATTGAAATCGCTCCCAACAGCAGGGGCAAAAAGAGAGTGAGAAAGAAAGACAAAGGGAGACAGACATACAGACATACAGATAGAGAGAGAGAGAGATGGAGCTTTTCATATTCGTGACACCGCCATACATACTTGTGTCTTCTGCGCCATAACAATGTGATCGTAGTTGTGACCATTAATCAATAGAAGTGATTTATCGGCTTGTTCCAATCATTTGGAACGTTCTTAGAAACTAAAGGTTTTTTGCATCCATATTTAACCTCAAGGTATACAAGTTCCTGCACCCCCGACTCCAATATTCTGACTCCAATATTCCAATATACTATAATTAAAGGGATAGTTCACCCAAAAATGAAAATTCTGGCATTAATTACTTACCCTCATGTCGTTCCAAACCCGTAAGACCTTCATTCATCTTCGGAACACAAATTAAGATATTTTTGATGAAATCCTACAGCTTTCTGATCCTGCAAAGAAAGAATCGCAACTACCACATTCAAGGCCCAGAAAGGTAGTAAGGACATTGTTAAAATATCCCATGTGACATCAGTGCTTCAACTGTAATGTTATGAAGCTATGGGAATACTTTTTGTGTGCAAAGAAAACGAAAATGACTATATTCAACAATTTCTTCTCTTCCGTGTCAGTCTTCGATGCACATTCATGAGAGTACCACGACGCAGTGAACCACTGATGTCACATGGACTATTTTAACGATGTCCTTTCTGGGCCTTGAACGTCGTAGTTGCGTTTCTTTCTATGCAGGGTCAGAAAGCTCTAGGATTTCATCAAAAATATCTTAATTTGTTTTCCAAAGATGAACGAAGTTCTTACTGGTTTGGAAAGACATGGGGGTGAATAATTAATGACAGAATTTTCATTTTTGGGTGAATTATCCCTTTAATCAAACAACCATGTGGTAAACTTGACAGCTGTAGTTCATGTAGCTTTCCTTCATAAAATAAGCCATACAGAGGAAAAAAAAGCTGGTTGCCTCCATATTCGCTCAGTTCAACAACTACTATATCCACGATCCTCTACAAGTGCTGCCAATACTTCCGCCTAACTTAAACCACCATCTGTTTAGCTCATCCTCCATCTCACCTTGGGAACACCAAACATCCAATATCCATCTGCAGATGTTGTCATTCATTGTTACATATTTATGAAGTGTTCATATAGTGTTCATAATTTGGAGGCCAAGGCAACACCTTGAGTTCTTCTTGAATTCTGTCATGTTCCTCAAACCATTCCTGAACAATTGTTGCAGTGTGTCAGGGTGCATTATCCTGCTGAAGTAGGCCACTGTCATCAGGAAACACTGTTGCTATGAAGGGGTGTAAATGGTCTGCAACAATCTATAGGTAGGTGGTATGTGTTAAAGTGACATCCACATGAATGCCAGGACCCAAGTTTTCCCAGCAGAACATTGCCCAGAGCATAACACCTCCTACACTGACCTGCCTTTTTCCCATAAGGCATCCTGCTGCTATCTCTTCCCCAGTTAAATATTGCACACAAACCCGACCATCCACCTGATCTAAAAGAAAGCATGATTTATCAGATCAGGCAACCTTCTTCTATTGTTTCATGGTCCAGTTCTGACGCTCACATCACCAATGTAGGTGCTTTTTGCGGTGGACAGGCTTCATCATGAGCACTCTGAGACTGGTCTGCAGCTATGCCATACGCTGTAAACTGCAATGCACTGTCTTCTGTTGTAATGATATAATCAATGTTATTGACTTCCCCTATCAGTGGGTTTAATCAGTGGTGATGGTATGAAGAGATGGATTAATTCATGTAGGACGCCACTGAATGCCTAGGTGTAAAATGCACGGCCCGCCACTGGGTTTAATGTTGTGGCTGATCAGTGTATAGCATGAACAATGTGCAGATAATCCCAGCTAGGATGATATTAAGAACTGCAGTTGATTTTTATAGTTTTTTCCCCCCACAATATAGTTCATTGCTAAAGAAGCCAAAGCATCAGTGCACAAAGTGACAGACTGTCTGAAACGGTGTGAGTGGAATGAAGTGACAGAGAGTGTTCTGCTCCGCTTTAGTTCCACTCCGGGTTTTCCACTTCACACATTACACTCATTGGTGAAACCTATAAAGAAACTAGAGCAAACTCTTACACTGAAAACATGTGGTGTAGGATTTACTTTGAAACTATTTTCACTCAGAAATTCAATTTCAATAAATTTCACTAAATACTACAAAGACATGGCACACATCGAAAGTAACACATTGAATTAATTTTTTTTTAAGTAGAAAGACTAAAATGTTTTTTTTCCCCGTATAGTAGGGTAATACACTGATGCGCTCATGTTTAAAAAGGAAAAAGTCCATTCCTCACTCCACTTCCGCCCTGTTCACACACTCTGGAAATATTAAGATATATAATATTTATTAAGCCAATCAGAGGACCGGAAGTAACTTATATAATATCCCATACATGACTGCAGGTGGTACCAGGAACTTAAGCTACATGTGTACTCTGTCTGGAGCCTGAACTCAAGAGTGTCTTTCAAGGGACTCAGATAAGCATAAAATGAAAGGTTCACACTAGTTCGTTTCTGGATGGTGTGTGCTTTCTCTTTCTGTCTGCCTGTCGCTTTCATGTTTTTACCCCTCACTTCTGTCCCTGGTGAGAGCATTTGGAAGCTGAACTGTCAGTTTGTTGCTTTGATTTTCTCACTGTGCAAGTCTAGCACACAGACAGCCTTCTGCTGTACTCACAAACAGACACGCATGAATACTACATGAATAAATAGAGCACCAAACCACTGAAATCGCTCAAATGTTCAAAGCTACGTGAATTTATTCATGGTCGACTCAGCCGTGTGAACAGCTTTAGGTCAATGTAAAATGGCTTTGCTTCGATGCCTGATAGCGGAGCATGTGAAAATGTAAACATCATTACATCAATCTTAACATTTCATCTTTGTGTTATACTAGTAAAAGTGTAAGCATACACAAACACATACAGTCACACATACTTATAATAAGGTCCTTAGTACCCACAGAGAGCCTCATAAATCATTAAATTGTTATATAAATCATTGTAATGGTTTGTGTGCAGGGGCGTAGCAAACGTCTCAGAAGGGAAGGGGATACAATATGCACCAAAACTCGCTTATGGCTTATTCATTGTTATCTTATTTGTACCCTATTTTATTGTCATGAGCAAATTATATTTTAGGCTAAGACCGCTGATTATAGTCAGAGTATAGATTATATAGTAGTCTGTAGAGTAAAGATTAAAGATTATAATTACAATACAAATTGTTAAATTATTCTATAAAATAATACTACTATACACTACCATTCAAAGGTTTGGGGTCAATAAGACTTTTTTTCTTTGTGAAAGAAATCTCTTATGCTCACCAAGGCTGCAAGTGAAATAGTAATATTGTGAAATATTATTCCAATTAACTGTTACTATTTTAATATATTAGTAAACAACATTAAAATGTAATTTTAAAAAGGTTCTTTGATAAATATAAAGTTCAAAAGAACAGAATTTAATTGAAACAGAAATGTTTTGCAACATCATGCATTTCTTTACTGTCACCTTAATGCAGTGTTTCTCAACCCTGGTCCTGGGCGCCCCCCAGCACTGCACATTTTGAGTGTCTCCCTAATCAAACACACCTGATTCAACTCATTAGCTCATTAAAAGAAACTCCAGGACCTGAAATGGGTGTCAGATAAGGGAGAAAATGTGCAGTGTTGGGGGGCGCTCAGGACCAGGGTTGAGAAACACTGCCTTAATGTGTCCTTGCTGAATAAAAATATTAATTTCTTTCAAAAAAGAAAGGGAAAAAATGTACTGAACCCCAAACTTTTGAATTGTAGTGTATATTGAGAAGTATACAGTATATTTATAATATATATATTTGGGGGGACGTACAAACAAACAAAAAAATGAAATTTACAGAATTATATCCTCATTTTGACATATCCATTGCTCTGTAAAAACCTTTCTGCTAGCTGAAAAAAAACTAGCATGTACAATTACTTGATAAAAATTTTAGGTTTTTCAAATTGACATGCAATATATATTTTTTTTAAACATGCATTTTGGTCTCATTCTTTTTTTTTTTTTTTTTTTTGACATATCCATTGCTCTGTAAAAACCTTTCTGCTAGCTGAAAAAAAACTAGCATGTACAATTACTTGATAAAAATTTTAGGTTTTTCAAATTGACATGCAATATATATTTTTTTTAAACATGCATTTTGGTCTCATGCTTTTTTTTTTTTTTTTTGTATTTCAGTGAAACAGATGTCCTACACGGATGAAATGAGGAAAGAATTAAACACAGCGAGGACAAGGATGAGTAAAAAGAGAGAATAAATCAGGTGAGTTGTATTTCCATCTCCTCTGAATAGTGCATTTCCCAGCGAATCATTTTCCATTTTCCATTTTCCATTGTCAAAATTGCTCCAGTGTACAGAAATATTTACTCCCTGAATATTCCCAGAATGCTCTGTCAGAGCCAGACTATGCACTATATTCGCATACTATATGCGTTGTCAGGTCTGCTTAAGTCTACCAAGTCTTTGAGGGATGGGTTCAAATTTAAATGTATGAAGACAAAGCCTTATTTTCTGTCTTCAAACCAATTGTGTTTTTAATCTTTCATTCCTGATGTTCATGAAAGGGAAACATATAATTAACTATTATAATAACATTTAATTAAAGTTAAATATTAGAGTTGGCAGATTACAAATACCTCTCCTTTTTATTTGTTTTTCTTTATTTATGTATGCACCTTTTTGTACTTATTATATGGTGTTATGCGTATTTCATAATGAATTTCATAAAGGCATGTTATAGAGTAATACTCTTGATTTAAAAACCAGCCAAAGTTTAACAATCGAAAGTTGTTTTGAGACACTGGTAGCTGCTTTAGTATACCTTTTTTCAACATTTATACAGTTTCTATCTTTGTTAGATAAAAAGAGAGTAAGATAACAAAGGAGATTAACCTGAAACCTAGTCAAATTAAATTACATGTTCACTTCTAGCCAGAGGCGTCATGCCTATTCAAAGTGAGGGGGCACGTGCCCCCTCAGATTTTTGAGCCAAGTGGATTTTGAATGCAGCTTCCAAAAGACAAAAAAATTGCCAAATAATATTTCCTATATTTAATACAATCACACTGGCAGATTACATTATTAGGTTACTTTGACCATCGCGCACTATAGATCAACATAATCTATAAGGTGAGAATCAAGATATTTCATGATATAGTTAAGTGCCCCCTCAAAAATAATGAGTGCATGACAACCTGCTTCTAAAGTACAGTGTTGCAAAAAATGTTTTTCCAAAACGAGGTTTCCAAAAGCAGATGTTTCTGTATCTGTAATTACTGATTTTCTAGAAATTGGGAAGTGTGGATAAGTCCTTAATTTGGAGCCATGAATGTAGTACAGCATGACATTTTTTTTCAGTACCCCATCTGGGTGCACACACACACTCTCTCTCTCTGTCCCTCGTAGTTTTATAACTGCCTTTAAAAGTCTGAAATTTGGCGGCAGAGCAGCTGTTGTGCCAAAGGATTTGATCAGGCGACTGTAGACCTAAATGTGCTGAACCTCCACAGCCTCCCACACCCACAGTCTTGTGAGAGAAAGAACATCTCACATCTACCTGATGTAAGCTGAAGCACACTGAAAGAGATTTTTAATTAACTGCCAACCAAAACACAAACACACATATACACACCTACCTGTGGGTTAAATTGACCTAGAATGTTCCTTTACAGCGTTCCAGCACCTTCGACTGAAAGAGAACAAAAAACAAATATTTGCAGTTTATTTGTCAATCCATTCCGTTTCCTTTACACTGTATATATAATATATTTTATATGAGTTATTCCATAACATTTAGTTTTTATATGTGTACGACTGTTCAGAACTGTGCTATGTGCTGATTAGCATCTTTGAGCTAGGTTCAAAAGTATCTAAAATTGTCACTACTGAAACGGTCACTACCAAAACATTTGGTGGTGTTTCGGTAGTGACATCTTTGGGGGTTTTTTTCCATAAAATTGTCACTACCAATACTTGCCAAAACGGGTATTTTAACATAACTTTGTGTGTATGTGAAAGAGGAATCAATTCACTGTTCATGTGGTGTCTCACTCTCTGTGTGTGTGCGCTTCGGGTGTGTGCGACAGCGGCTCAGAAAACTGCGTGCGAGTTAAAATTGCTTGAATGTGTAAACTGGCAAGACAAAACATGTGCAAATGATAAAGTTTAACTCTATGATGGTTAAACTTAACAGTTAATTCGCGAATCACATGCGTGTCGAACCGTGCAGCCTGATCCGTACGGATCACAGATCATCTACGATCCGTTGCACCCCTAATATCAACATATACAGTAATATATTTAAAGTTAAAATTATAATTGGCTACTATTATAAGTAGTATCAATATTATATATAATTAGTGTGTGTGCCATATATGTAAGGGATAATCAATGGTTAGCTGTGCATTAAAGGATTTTAAATGCACGACGTGGAGGTAAAGAACCGCCCGACGCGAAGCACTTTGCCTCCGCGAAGTGCATTTAAAATCCTTTAATGCATGGCTAGCCATTGATTATCGCTACGTTATATTTCTCAGCAATGAGGTGGCGCTGTTTTTGAACTAATTAATTGTTTGTAGAAAGAGACACGCATGCAAGTAAAGCACACACAACTGTCATCTCTTTCTCTCTCTCTCTCTTTCTCTCTCTCGCAATCGATAATTAAATTAAATAAATGCTATAATTCATTCAAATAAATGTGGTTTTACCGCATTATTTCATCTTTGTGTCTGATTTGAAGCGGTCAGAATGCGCTAACGTACCGTAACTGACGAAAATAACTGTAATTTTTACCCTTCCGGTCAAATATTGCGCTGCAAAGAGTAATACTAGTTTTAACTTGTCTATAACTTGGCAAATGACCATGGAATAAGCGGGATAATCAACGGTTTGCCGTGCATTAAAGGTTTTTAAATGCACTTTGCGGAGCCTCCACGTCGTGCATTTAAAATCCTTTAATGAACAACAAAAACACACACACACACAACATGCACGCATACTAGTTAAAAAATATAATTATATAACAGTAGAGAAAAAGCAGCTTTGAGACAGCAGACACAAAGGATTATTTTCCGATTTTGTCTGTTCGCTGCAGTAGCTCTGAGGACGTCTCATGCTAACAGCTCCCATCAGCCTGTCTGCTGTCTGTGTCTAATATAACTGGAGACTCACGCTGGCAGGTAGGACGCTCAGAGAACAGGATTAGAGGATACAGGAGACAATCCATGTCGGACACACACACTGTGAAGTCCAGCTTCACTTCATTGTCTGAGAGGGATCAGACTAACCTTTGTGATGCCGGGCCTTTGCTTTTACAGTCGCTATGGCAGCCGGCCTGACTGCAGTGAGGGATGATGCTGTTTTGTGAGTTGTAGCAAAAGAATCAGTGGCTTTTTTGATGCCTTAGTTACTGTTACATTGCACGCAGACACACACATAGTGCTCCAACAATAGCTGCATGAACCCAAGCACCTCTGTCAGAGTGAAGCTTAGGGAACACTTCTCTGGTGATGCTACGTATGAGCTGCTTCTCTGTCAGGTTTATGATTTGTGCATGATTTCTCATCACAATATGAGGCTACAACTATTTGCATAATTGAATAATATGTCAAATACTTTTTTGATTATTTGTCTTTAGTATAAATAGTATGTACATTGGTATATACGTGTATATTGTGTATGATATAAAACATTTCATTACACCAAATACACAAAATAATGTTCTTTTTAGCAGCATCATATGACCCCTTTAAGTAAACTGTACGTGTATTATATTTAGGCATGTAGACTGAGTAAAATACATTTTGATGTTATTTGTTTCATTTACAAAGTCTTAGGAGAGTGTTTTTTTTAAAAAAAAAAGGTAAAACATTCTAATATTTATTTGCATATTTGTACAAATTTAAGAAGAATAACATAAATATATATATATCCAGTATACTCTGTTTCTGTCTCTTGTGTTTTGTTCCCCATGTACTCCATGTCCTGGTTTTCCCCCGTGTTCCTCATATGCCCTTATTTGGTCCTTCCCGTTCCTGTCCTTATTAATGTAATTTGTTCCAGGTGTTCCCCGTTTAGTTCCATAGATCCCAGGTGTGTCCCATTAGTTTCCTTCTTACTTTAACCCTGTGTTTCTCTTGTGTTGTCTTAAAACGTCGATCCCCGTTCCTACGTGTGTGTTCCTTGGTTCGTTTTTGTAAATAAAGACTGTTCATGGTGAATTCTCCTACGTCTCCTTCGCTCCTCGCTCCGACACAGTAGGCAACAGCGTGACATATTTATATATACTTAATAAATATACACAGTACATACACATTCTATGTAAACAAAAACTTTTATTTTAGATACGATTTAATCGTTTGACAGCACTAATATATATATATACAGTATATATATATATATATATAC